CCCTACCCCGTTTTGGTGTTTCTCTTGTACCACTGCAACGCCCCGTGTCGACCACAGCAAGTAAGCAAGCATGGTTGGTTTCGTTTCAAGCCTAGCTTGGTCATGTTGCAACTTATTCGGCGATGACTTGTCACAGGTTAGGAAGCTACCGCCATTCGAGATGATGAGGAGCATACTCGCTGATACCGCCAAGAAGTTCGCCCACCGTGCCACCCTCGGCAATGGAGCATGGACTCCCTATGCTGCCGCGACGTTCGAAGACCAAAGGAAGAAGTCCGCCGGGTAAGTGTTGACAATAGTGGAGAATATACAGCCGCGTTTGGGTTTTTCCGTGTATGGGTATGTCCTCGTGTGGTCGAAGGGACAACCTATAATAATCCGTGCAGGACTCTCTTGTACTTGCACGGACGAGTGGTGGGTTGCCAACGGGTGGGAGTTTCATGTCATGTTTGTAGGTGCACGCACGCCGCCGAGATGCACATGTAATGTACTCACATGCACGCCTTTGCCACGTCCATTATTCCAGACTCATCGCCTCCCCCACGGGCAACCAGTTCTACACGGTCGAGAACACCAATCTCGCCACCCTCAACACCCGCGGCAACAGGGTCCTGCTGAGGTGGGGCGAGCCGGGGCAGAAGACAGAGTGGTCCTGCACATGCGGGTTCCCCGCGAGGTTCCACATCCCTTGCTGCGACGTCATCGCCTTGGCTAGATGTAAGCGATGTACCTAGTGGGCACAGCAGTAGTCATGTTACCGAAAAAAACGATGAACGTGAACCTCGTGTTGCCAGCAGCACTGTTTTTGAGTGTACTGTCGCGGAATCTATCGGAGCACTTGCGTGAACCTGGTCGCTGAATGCCCTGTGTCTGTTCGCTTGTCATCGTGTCGGGTCTTTGTTTTTTCTGATTCCGGTGTGTCTGTTCATTTTAGTTGTTTCCTGCGTGTTTTTTTTTTTCATTTCTTTTCCGTCTCCTGTCGCTGTCCATGTTGCCCCTTCCTTCGATACACGCAGCGGAGGACAAGATGGACGTTGTCATGGCCCTGATGCATCCGGCCTATCGCCTACAATACCACCGTCGGACCTACGGCGACAACGCGTACCAGATCATGCTGCCTGTGCCGTCCACGCTGGAGGAAGATGACACGCTCCTACCTCCTTTCTGGGTGGCTGGTCAGGCTGGCGCTCCGAAAACAAAATCCGGGCCGAAGAAGTACAAGATGATCCCTGGGCGCGGGGACAAGAACGCGTCGTCGTCGTTCAACAGGCGAGTTTCTGAACTCGGCCCGACTGCATCCGGAAGCACGGCGGCCCCCTCTCTGTCGCAGGGGGGTGCCACGGCGGCTCCCTCTCTGTCGCAGGGGGGTGCCGCGGCGGCTCCCTCTCTGTCGCAGAGGAGTGCCACGGCGGCTCCCTCTTCGTCACAGGGGGGGCGTGCGGGCGGATCGGTCATTGTCGGGGGGATGGTGATCAACTTGGCACGCTGAGTGCCGGCCGCCGAATGACGATGTGTGTGTTGCCGTTTTTGTCCGTGTCACGTACTCCGCGATGTTTTCTTTCTTTTCTTTTCGTGCCAACCCTGTCCAGTGAAGAATCGGGGATCGCGGGCCTTGACACTCGTCTACCCAACGACCAGTTGGCTGATGACGATAGTGAATAATGGTGGGCAGGGAGGTTTTATTTCTTTTACGCTTTCGTCTTTCTTTCGCTGTCGTGTTCCCTGCGGTATGTTGGCTAAGTTTGGCATGCATGGCGTACGCAAATGTGCTGACCCTTCCGCGTTGATTGTGCATCATTGATTTGGATTGTGCATCATTGATTTGGAGCACACACCCTCTGCTGAGGAGGAACGTCCGGGTACACGTTGCTGCTACGCAAGGGAAATAAACGAGCGTGTCGTGTTGATATGTAGATGCTGGAAGAGGCCCCTTAATTTTGGTGTGGCATTCGAGGTCCTTTTGGAGTCCTTTTGAGGGGGGGGTGAGGGGGGCGGGGCGGCCACCGCGTTCCTTTGAGAGAGACGCGTGTTCTCAAGACCATTTCTTGTTTATTTCCGACTTTTTTCTCTCTCTCTCTCATGATTCGCATGTTTTTGGGAAAACCGACGCGCAAGTGTTGAATCGAGACGAAGTAATGACTGCTGTGTTGCCACAACGCCAAGTTCATACGATGTATGACTGAAAACCTAGTCTGCTAAGGTCATCCATGCATGATGGGTCCTTTTCGGAGGATTCCTGAGAGAGGAACACGTGAACGCAGCATGCGTCAAACACCTTGTCTGTATGGACTCTTTATCGGTACGTTCATTGAGGAAACTAACCATTTTATCTTGAAATATGACATCTACCTCGATACTACACCACGGTCATTTACTCAAAGATAACCTCCAGACCACGCAAGGCATTGAGCCTGGGACCCAGTCGAGCGAATTGGACGTTGACCGTTGTTTGTGCACGCCACCGCCGTGTGCTAGATTAACACCCAAATATGCATTACACCTGCATGCATGCACGGAAAAACACAGCACCTGGCACAGCCAAACAGGTATTATTCATAATGGACGTATTGTGGATCCGTGCTCCCATCTAGCTGCCTGGTAAAATGACTAGACTACAACAAAAGCCCTTGCGGAGCAGCGCGTCACAGCGCAGAGAGGGTGTGTGTGGGTGTTTTTGTCTTGACATTTTGTTGTGTGGTTGGGAAAAAGAGACAACACTGGGAACAAGTTGGTAAGACAATGTGTAGGCATCTATCTGTAGCTATCGACAGCGAGCTGCTAACATGTCGCACATTAGAGACACACTGCTATATATATCTTGCAGGTTCACCTCCACACCACCAGCATTCTCATGAGGAAGGAGGACCCGATCGCCCTCGGTGGCCGTTGGTTATTTTCCTACTACGTATTTTGACTCGTGGGCCCGGGCCCCTCTCCTACAGGGGGTCGAACTCGCTCGATCCGCGAGTTAGCTCGCTGTGGTGCTCGTACATTGGGTAAGGACAGAGAAACAAAACGGGCACGACCTGCCTCATGCTTGCGAGGCACAGCAGCAGCGCAGCAGCAGCAGCGCAGCAGCAGCGCAGCCGCAGCAGCACAGCAGAGCACGGCGGTTGGTTTTTCGCCGCGATCTACGGAGGAGGCTGTCGGAGATTGGTACCACCCTGCTGTGTGTGGTGTATGTGCGGTACATGGTGTATCGTGCGGGTATGTGCGGTACACGGGTTGTTCTGCGGGTTTTAGATCGTCGGGCGCCAGGAAAATATGACCATTTCTGGGTACAAAACTGACCACTTCCGGGTACACCAGTAACCAATATTGGTACTCCAGAGCGTCCTATTGCCAGCAACAGCAGTTGTACCCGATGGGGTTTTCTCCCAAAATGGGTACGATGGTTTTTCGGCCAATCAGCTGACAGCCTGGGGGTGCAAACGTCTTGATTTCTAAGTGTACCCGAAAGTGGTGATAAAGTACCCGGGTATACCCGTTTCTGGTTATTGGTCTCAAAAAAACGCACCACGGAGCCCCCAGCAACACGTGTGCTTCCTCTGCTCACAACCAAGCTACCACCCTGAGCTTGAACCTAAAGAATAAGACCATAACATCCACAAGGAGGCCTTTGCTCCGACGCTACATCGGCCACTACAGCTGGTACGAGTATCTTTACTACTCATCGCACTCGGTACAGTCGTTCGATTGCACAAAGAGAGGTCAGTGTGTATCGTTGCATGAGCGAATACCTTTCAGGAGCCATTATCCCCTTTCTCGCGCTAGAAACCGTGCCGTGAACGGGAGCTATACGTACTTACGGTTTCCACACTTGAGACCTCTACCCTGCGTGCTAGCGACTCGTGACAAGTGTCACGCTCTACCATATTACGATAGGTTGGTCACTAAGGATAAGATTCGATTGTCAAAACTCAGATTCAAGTGTAGCACGTGTACTGGTGTACAGGATGCAGATTTTGTCCCACCTGGCGAGCAGCGAATCCATCAGATGAAAGTGGACCAATAATACTGGAGCATGATGATTCTCCAGAAATTCTAAGACAAAGGGTATCATGGAGGCACGAAAATTCGCCGAAAAAAACTACCCTTTCCCATTGGCAGATGGGAAAACGCCTTCAATGGCCCTTTCTTCGTAAAACAGAGCCAGAGTGGTTCTTTCTTTGCCGTTTCATACCCCACCACTATCTCATAGCTTCGGGAAACCCTCCAGCTTATCCTTGCTTGTGGCTTCAAACCGGTACGAATGTTGTCGGTATGGAAATCACCGCAAAACTACCCCAATTGTAGGCGGTAAGACTTTAGCGCGGTGTTCAAGATGTAAGTAAGAATAACGCCAAAATCACCAGGACCTTGCCGACCAGGCAGCACGCGAGTGGCAGGCCATGACTCTCGCCGGGCGGACTCAAGTGAGGGCCGACCGGCTCATGGTCGAACTACTATCTGCTTGGCCATAACGTGTTGGCCACAGGCTGCACTGGTGCGTTTTTGCTGTTGTCGAAGAAGCATTGTTGTGGCTCGTGTATTTCGTTGGAGTTCTTTGTGTATTTGTATTCCCAACGCCCTAGTCTCTGCAAGCGGCCTTCGTTGTTGATACCGAAGCGAAGGATGGTGCGCACCAAGCATGGGCGCATGGAAAACGAGCTTGCCCGCTCCACGTTGTTTCAGGCCTACTGCCTTTGCCAAGGTGCCCACTTCAGAAACGTGGTGTCATGCCAACGCATTCAATATATATATGCGTTTCGGACTGTCGTGGCAAAGTGGATGAACACGCGCCCGTTGATCCGGACAAGCCAAAAACGTGTACTCCCGCAGTTGCTTGCACGGCATGATGGTACGACGCAGTAGTTCACACTCCCCTCGGAACCTCACCCCTACCCGTCTTGTCCGAGTAGGCCGCCAGCGCGCTCGTGCCTACGCCCATTGTGGAGGCGTCGTCCCAGGGGATCTTCGCGAGGCAAGAGTACAGTTTAATGGTGGTCGGTGCCAACTTTTTTCCGGAGAGCAAGCTGGTATTCGACCCCCCGCTTCACGAGCACGAGGAGTTCCAGCGTCATGTGAGGAGAAAATTCACTCCCTTCCCGTCTAAATCGCACCCCCTCTGTAGGTAGCCCCACGCGTCGAATCTGCTGTGTTGCTTCGACCTTGGTGTGTATACTGTCTTGGAGGTGTGTAGGCGTGTTTCGTGCCCTCATACCCCTTGGCGAACCAACCGATGCTGTTGTTTTCCGCCTGCATGTGGCGTTTGGTTCCGTCACGGCTAGTTTCTGCGCATGTGCTGATGTCTCGTTGTTATGTAGGTGCAGTTCGTTTCGGAGGTCCGGATCCAACTCATCTGCTGAGATTTGGCTTGTTTTTTTACTGAGCCGGGGCAATTGAAGGTGGTCGCGATCGACACCGGGGCCGGCTTGGTACAGCTCAACCCCGAGCAGGGAGGAGGGGTCGTGGTCGCCACGGCTAAGCCTGAGATCAACGTGGAGCAAGACGAGGACCTACTCGTCTACCAGTCAACCAAACAGATTCGGATCGGTGGCAGCGGGTTCGAAGACGTCACGGAGGTGAGAGGAGTTACTCTTGCTGGAGTATTTTCATGACGGATCGACACACCCATGGCGAAAAACGGAGCAATTCCGAGAACGGTCGACACCCATGGCGATGTTTGTATTGCGTACCAGTACCTGTGTAGCGCGCGAGGCATGAACCATGCCTGGGTGCGTCAGTTGTTGCCCGCTGAAGGTGCACGTTGACTCCTATGAGCAAGATACGCGAATGAACTTATTCAACTTTCGTTGGTGCCATCTTCGTTCGCCCGTATCCATGTCGTGCAGCACGTTCGTGAACAGATGAGGAGTACATAACGTTGTTTTTGGTGCCTTCAAGCATTCGTTCCACTACTACAGCAATGGGCTTCGCAGTCGATCGAAATGTCGAGGATCAGCTCATAAAGCTGTTACTCAACTTGCCGGAACCATTCATGTACGTTTGCGTACCGCAGGTAAAGATGATGAAAATGTCACGCGAGGAGGAAGCCTCGACCAGCTCACGCTTAGCCTAGCAGAAGGCGGCGCCTGGGTCAAGGTGAGGGCTTCGCTTCCCCACGGAGACGCGCCGCAGAGTACGCGCATGGCGCGGGCAGCTGTTTCACGTAGCCCACACGACTGTTCTTTCCGGCGGGTGGTCGGATTGATGTTGAAGGTGCGAGCAGCGTCATTATTTTGAGCGTCATTTACCGCGGTCCACTGCGGTATTACTGTCGGGCTTGTCGGCGGGGTAACTGTACCTTTCTGAAAGATAATAACCAAATCAAAGACGGAACCTCCCCACATTAGAGACGGGACTCCGTGGGCTCAAAACGGTATTCCATACAGTGGTGTATTGTGGGTCCGGCCGAGTCCAAAATCGCCTAAATTATAGATTTCATCATCTCCCTCGGTTCAAAACTGTGTCTTTTTCTTTGACTCTGGTTGGTTGCAACATGTGAAACGCTCATTTATTTTTTCATCTCGTGGAACCGACCCGCAAACCAACTACTGAATAATGCGCTCCTTCAGAAGCGTCGTGTCGTTCGCCAGGTTCCTTCGCGATTGCTGGTTGTTGTCACAGACTTAGCCCCCTAGTTCGTACCTGATGTTGTTGCCAAACAGGACCCTTCCTCTCTGCCGAGGGCCTTGCTGGTCACGGGGGTTAAAGCTACACCCGGATGAATGAATGTAGGCGGTTTCTCTACGTTGCATGGGCGAAAGGTTGCCACCGTGTTCGAAGACCCCACCGTGCAAGCTTCGGATACCGAGATATACCGTGGCATCAAGCGGGAGCTATGCATCTATGGCACCGGTTTCAACACTGTGGTTCAGCCGACCCTGGTGTTCGCACCACCCCTCGACAACGAAGCCGTCAATGTTCACGTGAGCAGTGGATTTGAAGAGCTGCTGGTGCTTGCACGTAGGTTGCTTTCCGTCGTGCACGACGTGAATCTTCTGGCAAAGCAGAGGACAACGCCCAAATTGTCGTTTAGCCGTCCCGTCGGGGTGTGCTGGTTGAGGTGAGATGAGGCCACGCCTACAAGTCGGTTGCCAGGAAGCAAAAGCTTCCACGCGGGATTGGAAGCAATGTTCCGAACAAGTAAGAAACGTTCTGGTCCCCGCGTGTGCTGTGAACCCTTGGTCAGCACGCCATATGAGTCGTAACGGTGGTGCACTCGCTCGTGAAGCATTCTCTGCTTAAATCTGCGCACCCTTCTCTCCCCCTCCTCCGCCACCCACCCCGTACATTGAAGGTGGTGAACCGTACCATGATCTGCCTGACTCTGTCGGCCACCGGCGCTGACTGGACAAGAGCTGGGGATTACCTCGGCCCGTTGAAAATCGAGGTACGGTACGCCCTGAATTGTGCTGATAACAGCATGGCGGTTTCGCCTGCGCCACGTCCCCGGCTCTCTTGTCAAGTTGGGCGACGGGGCGTCACAACAAAGACGAAACCTCGACGTGCACTTCGACAGCGAGCATACGCTTTCTCAAAGCGGTTTCGGGGAAGGATAACGTAGAAGCAGAGTGGAATCTAGTGGACTTTTGCGGGGTGACCTTGCTTCAAGAACGCGGCGCCGCTGTGCGCTCGCGTACGTGTGATCCCTGTTGTATGTCTCGACAGAAAGCATTCGACGCACGCTTTCGAACGTGCCTTGTGCGGTACGAACGCGATTTTTCTGCTGTGTTCACTACCGCCCCCGGTGAAGAGTCATCAACCCAGGAGATATCGCAGAATTGTCTTTCGGCACCTTTCGCGCGTTTTCCCTACACCAGCAAGAATGCGTTCGCTTTCCTCCGTGTACGATAACATTCCGAGCTGTGCAACTGATCGCCCCCCACGTGAAGTCCGTTTGTAGGAAGTACCTGGTACGGTCTAATTACCAGGTTTTTTATGACTGCCCCGTTCCGTGCCCCCTTCCGTCATCTAAATATTGTGTGCATGTTTGCTCCTCCACTACGTTGCCACTAGGGAGTTGACACCGGTGCCGGCATCGTTGTCTTCGAATCGCCGATCACGGTGGCCACTGTTTCGCCTAGTGCCGGCACACACGATGACCGAGTTTCACAGGTTCGTGAATGTATCCTTGCCTCGTTCAGCATCCTACTACTGTACGTCGTCCACCATTCCTCTGGACGAGTGTGGGATCCCGTGTGCGTGTTTGTTTTGCAACAACCAAGGCGTATCGGCAACTATTACCCATGTGTGTTGTTTGCCGGTGGCGCCTGAGGTGCTGTTGCTGCTGCTGCTGCTGCTGTTGCTGTTGCAACACGGACACCACCGAAGCGGTTTGGAGCGCATCTACGTGTATCGCAACCATCACGAAGCGCTTTTGGCTCACACTTCGTAGCTGAAAACCGTTGACAAGCCGATGCTCGGGCGCTGTCGGGGTCTAGCGGATTCGGGCGGAAGAGCACATGTACACCACTCCTATGTTCTGAAAGTGGATTGTGGCTACGCAAGAAAGTCGACGTGGTGTTGGTCAATGTTGTTTCACGACGGCATAAAGGCACGAGCACGAACGACGTTTGCCAAACATGTCTCTACCCCGCTGTGGTCTGGACATAGGTCACCATCAGCGTCGAGGCCTCGCCTTTGCCCTCGGTCGAGGCCTCCTCGGGAGAGCTTTTCATGGGTTCCGAAGCCAACGGCATGATTCTGACAGGTAGCCACTTCAGCCTGAGGCCCAAGCTGTACTTCGACTCGGCCCTACCGGACAACGTGCGGCAGCAGGTACGGAAGGAGACTTGGGTTCCTTCCCTCCAGTAGTCGATGCTGATGCCGTTGCCAAGTTTTATCGGCGCTGTTTCTTGTCATTCGGTGCTGATTCAGTGTTGGAGTACAGCATGCACTCCGTGTATCGATGCCTCGCCTTCCCTTTCTGTACGCCACCACGTGACCGTCCTTCGCGCCTCTCTCCCCCCTCATCCACCCTGACTGAGAATCGTTTCCTGAAAACCACTGTTTCTTTGGTGCTATCCGTCCTGCTCCCGTCGCCGTTGCAGTTTATTTCGTCGACCGAGATCGCCGTCTCCAAGGATTACAGCTTGGACATCTTCTTCGACAAACCACTCGGCCCTCTTCTACCACACCCGTGGAGGGCCGAACCGGGACCCCTTAAGATCGTCGCGATCGACAACGGTGGCCAACACGGCCGGGTGGAGCTCAACCCGGAGGCCGGGGGCGTCGTGGTTGCTACGGTGTTGTCCGATGTCAGCATTCAACAGAACGAGGGCTTGCATGTTTACCAGTCCACCAAGTAGATCCACGTCGCCGATAGCGGCAACGACAACGACATCCAGGCGAGCTCTTTCTTCGGCTGTGATCATGTAGTCCCGTTTCATACAGGTCTTGAGGGAAGTGGCGACAGCTTTGCTCCGTATTTTCTGCAGGTCTTGGTTGTTTTTTCTCGAGAAACCTAGAATAAGTCGGTCAGGATACTGGTTGTGTTTCCTTCCTTCAAGGTGCGAAAGGCGGGCTGCACTTTTCAGAAGTTGGACGAACTTGTAAGAAAACCTACAGAAGCTGTCCGTAGTTGATGTCGCGTGAGGCCTGTCGCTAGGGTCGCCCTAACGTCTCGCATTCTTGGTTCCTGCTGTTCGTAATTGTCCCCGGTGCCACACGATGGACTACGTGGGCGTTGGCGGAGAAAGGGCTGGTGACTTCAACGTCGACGATCAGTCCGACAGTCACATCACTCTTAAGCTAGCCGAAGGAAGCGTTCGGGTGCAGGTAGGGTCACCAGTGGACGTCCAACTAGCAGGACTTGCCGTCCAGCACGCGTGCGAATCTAGGTCTACTTTGTATCTGTGAAAGAGGGGGGGGGAAGGGGGGAGCGCAGGCAGGGCATCCGTGAGCTGGTCAGACTTTTGAACGATGAGGACCGCTGTTGCTGTGCGACCGTGTTATTGTTTGACACCCCTTTCACAGCAGTGTTGTCCTTTTGGACTGATGCGTTCACCATGGTTGGCAGTCCTCCGCAACTTCGTTCGTGGCATCTCAGTCGTGACATTGATAGTTTTTTTATGTTGCAATCTACCCCGCCGTTGATATCCGAATCAGGACCCCACCTTTTTGCCGGGACCCCTGCTGATGGAGTCTGAAATCCTCGTCGCTGGTTTCAGGAGCCAGCTGATAAGTTCTAGTGGTTTCTCCTTGAGGTTTGATGCGAGCGTCGCCACCGTCTTCGAAGACCCAAGCATCGACGCGTCGGACATCGAGATCAACCGTACTGGTTCTGAAGAGCTGGTGGTTCGGGGCACCGGCTTCAACGACATGGTTCCACTGGCTGTGGAGTTCGACCCACCGCTTGACATGGCCAACCTTCGCGTCAATGTGAGCAGCGTCCTAGGAGACTCCGGGTCGTAAATACGCTCGTATCTTGTGCCAAGAGGGGTCGTCGTCGCTGTGATCATTTGTTGTCGGCTCCATGTGACGAGCTTTAGATTTGTCGCTTGGGTGGATTTTCTGTTGGCTTCTCATGCCGACGAGCCCTGTTATGCGCCCTACTGTCCTGCACGCTGCGATGCGCGAGAGCATCGCCTCGTTTCATGTGCCGGACGTGGACGTGCCGCACATGAATATTTAATAATGGTGTCATTCAGGCTTGCGGTATTCAGCGTAAGTCACGACTCACCCTCGGCAGCACAACGCATACCAGCGCGTGGCATGCAATAGGTTTCCGTTGGATCAAGCGGCAGGGAGCGAGCTTGTTCTGCTGAATGTCCGCCTTGTTTCCTCGGCACGGTTGACAATGACGTTTTCAGTGTCCTGTCGTACCTCTCTCTGTGTCATGTTTCTGAACCTTTCCCATCTCTCGGATTTCTCGCTCGTAATCCCTGTGCAGGTGGAGAACCGAACAACGATCCAACTGACATTGGATACGAAGCTCGGCCCCCTGACGATCAAGGTGCTGGTGCTGACTTTTCGGCGTTGTGCGCGCCTGTTGTGTGTCAATCCTCTCTCTCGCTCTCTCTGCTTTTCTCTCCCTGTGGCCACCACCCATGGATGGAGAGGGCTTTACGTGGAACTGAGCTTCTGGTCGGGAGATACGATACCGCACCCACGATGCGTCAGCAGCTCCGGTAATGTCGCCCGTGTTCCGAACACTCGTGCTGTAAATTTTGCTGCAGGGAGTGGATTACTGGTGCCGGTATGGTGGTGCTTGACCACCCTGTTACGATAGCCACCGTGGTACCCGACTCCAAGCCCCTCTTCAACCAGGTCAGTCGATACCCTCAGTACAACGCGCTGCGAGCTTCCGCACTGTTGCTGATACGAGAGAGGTTGCTCCAATTTAAGTTGTTCGATGTTCGTGGTGGTACGTCGTCGTCGTCGTGTTTAGTTAGCGTTATTATCAAGTTCGGCTCGCCCGTTTCATGTGGATGATTCGCAACGAACGAAGGGATTCGCTCCTCGTTTTCGCCTGGTTGGTTCTTCGTATGCCTAAACCGAATAACCAGGGACTTGACATTGACCTCGACGTTTTGAAGCTGGATTCTCGCGAGAGCGCCACGCCATCCTTGCACGAGACAGAGAAGTCTGCAGAGCCTGAACCAGTGGAACACGGCGAGCATGTCTGTCATTCACCTCGTGTCGTAATACAATCTTCCATGATTCGGGGATACCAATTGTGACCAGCTGTGTTTTTTTCATGCGACATCCGTTTGCGCTTCCACAAATCTCGTTGCATGTGCGTACCACGAGCACTATCGGCACTTCCAGCTGGAATCATTCTCTTTTCGCACGCGCACCCCACAAGATGACCGATGTCTAGGGTTCAAGCGAACTGAACTGCACTTGTGCGAAGCAGCAAACACGGTTGCCTACTCCTTGTGCGGTGCCACGTTGGAGATGTGAGTGTGTGGCGTGCCGCTGACAAATATGGACACATGATGATGCCGGTCCTACGCAGCAAAGAACCTTACGCAAACCCTCGGCTTGAACACAGCCGTCGGCAGTGAAGGCTTGTTTCGCATTGCCAGAAGCTCTCGGGGTGCAGCACGCGTTCTCACTATTTCCAGCCAGTATTCCGGTCTTTGAGGCCTCGTTGCAGCTGCCGTTGAGGGAGGCTTGTGGAACTGGCACTTCCATAACCCGGCACTGATATCGATGTTGATACCGATTCGTCGCGAGCTTGAAAGCGAGTCGATGTCGAATGGACGGCACCGTTGCTTCGCGCACGTCGCCGTCAAGCGTGGTACGTAGCTCAGCACAGAATTCGCCTTCTCGTGCTCTCCCCCGTTTGGTGTGGACAGTTGGACAACACGGTCGCGCATTGGCCCTCTGTGGAGGCCTCCTCTACGGTGATCGATATCGTCGCCACCGACAGCCTCGCCGTGAGAGGCGACAATTTTAAGCTGGGGACCAGGCTGATATTCGACCCCCTTCTGAACAAGGGGTTCGACATGCGGGTAAGAAGATGCCGAACGTATGAGGACGGGTCGATCAGCGCTGGCAGGGAGTCGTACGTAGCTGTCTGGGTCATACAAAAATAGTGGTGCCTGCAGCATTTGTATGTATAAAAAACTCATGATGGTTTCCCGCCGTTGCCCCTTTCCCGCAACCCGGGCGGCGTGCTTCATGTGTGTCTGTTGAGTCTCGGCTCTTTTTTCTCATGGCAGTTTTTGCTGTACGCGTTGCTGTTACAGGTGTTTTCGCGAACGGAGATCGACGTCTTCCGCAAGCGTGTGATCGGCCAGCCACCCAGCACGTGGAGGTCGGCGCCCTGTCCGCTCAAGGTGGTTGCGATCGATACCGGCGCCGGCGTGGTGCAGGTCAACCCCGAGGACGGGGGCGTGGTGGTGGCTATACTTCGATAGCATCAGACACCCTCCGTTGCGGTCGCGGGTGTGAGTGCCATGTCCGTCTACGGCGCCGATGTTGGTCCGGTTTTAACGAACGCCAGCTTCAGGTCAAGCTGCGCTCAAACGGAGCCGCTGTCTGTACCCTTGGGCAACCCCTCGCGTGGCCGGTTCTCCGCAGCCTGTTGTCCGAATTTTCTTGCTGTAGTCGATACATCAGGCTAGCTGGTCGATCGTTACGGGCCCCCCTGTGTCTTTTGTGTCAGGATTGCTGCGGAGATTTGTTGTCTTCCGAGGGCACGTGCATACGTAGTATATTTCGGACACGGCCTGTTTGCGAGAGGTTTCCCCCTGTTGTTGTCTTATGCCTAAGCTGGATCCTGGGCTTTTCTTTGAACTCGGTTACACCGTCGCACACTTGTCTGTGCTGGAGGACTTGCTGCCTGCGCATGGTTGAATAGGTGGACATCAGTCTGTTCCCACCAAACCGACAGAGTTGTCTATGTAGACAATACTTCGTACATATTTTAATTGCATGCCTTTGCTTCAGATGCCACGTCGTTCAACGTTGTGCTTCCCCAGCAAGCGCTTAGCTGAGGCTTGTGTTGAAATAGAGCGAAACAATGCTGTAGGATATGCATAGTAGATATATGAACAATGTAATGTTGCTGTATGCAACTGTACCTAGGCGATACGTTGCAGTGAATGATATCGATACGACTCAAGAATGACTTGTGTTATAGCGATAAGATACAACGTGTGATTGCTGAGTGAGAGCTATTGCGAGAACTGGTGTGAAGTGAAGCCCCATGGCTTCACTCCCAAACCTTTCCCCTATTACCAGAGATTCTTCCAGTAGTAGTAGCTGAGCAAGGCTCGCCAAGTACCAAGTCCCAGAAGCGGCATTTCGAAGAACATCATCGGGTCTCACCGACCAGAGCCCTATCTCTGCGGAGACTCTTTCAGCGTGCACAGGAGGACGCTACTTCGCACTTCGCCACAGCGTCAACACAATACATGAGCCAACATTATCCAGCATCTTGCAGCCTGGATACTTCAACAACGTGAATTTCGCTGTCACAACGCAAACAAACTAGTCTACCCCGATAATTCACTTCCGCACACGACAACTTGTTGAGAGAACATCCGATGACAGCGTGTGTACTCCCTCCGCGAGTTGACAAACCGGCGATGACGACCGCCGTGTAGAAAAGGAAAAATGCGTGATGTACGGAGAGCGGGGGCGATCGCATTTGACGGCGACAACGACCATCGCTCAGCCCCGTGAACCACACGAAAAACAGAAACCCGACGGCGCATCGAAAACACGATTCGTCCGTCAAACAAACTGGGCGCGTTGAGCACAAAGTTCGGCCTCACGGGTACCGCCCTTGCTAAAGGGTGGCTGTCTGGTGCATCCGATGTTGCCGCACCTCATGCGATCAGCAGCGGGGAAGATGCAACGTACGAAAGCGCACAGACGCCCCGTTGCCTGTACACACACGCTTCGGCTCGCTGCACAACATGTTTGAGCTGGGCGGTGCGGGAAGGGACGCTAGCGCCAAACTAGGGCCGTTCCGCTTCTGGGAGCCTGACCGCCAGACGTTTGTCCGCAGAGATAGGGCTCTGGCCGGTGAGATTCGTTGATGTTGTTCTAAATGCCGCTTCTGGGACTTGGTACTTGGTGAGCCTTGCTCAGCTACAACTACTGCTGGAAGAATCTCTAGCAATAGGGGAAAGGTTTGGGAGTAAAGCCATGGGGCTTCATTTCACACCAATTCTCGCTACAATTCTCACTCAGCAATCACACGTTGTATCTTATCGCTATAATATTACAAGTCATTCTTGAGTCGTATCGACATCGTTCACTGTAACGTATCGCCTACGTACAGTTGCATACAGCAACATTACAGCAGTGTTCATATATATATATCTACTATGCATACCCTACAGCAAAATTGCCTGTAGCGGTCGTACAAGTATCCCTTGTTGTGCGCTGTCGCAATCATAGCATCGATTGGGATTGTGTCTCAAGGATTCTTTGCAGTAGACAGCATAGTGTTGGACCTACATAGTCCGTGCAGGACAACCGCTAGGCATACCGTAATCATCGGATTTTTTTTACCGGGGGTGCGCAGGTAATTTTCTTTGAAATGGCTTCCCCCGGTGAAAAATTAACTACCGGGGGGGTAAAGTTGTTGTTTGCCGCTGCTACCCCGGGGGAACATGCCCCGGGGAAAAAACCAAAAACGCTGATGGTACACACACACTCACAGAGTGGCGACCCGCGATGGATAAGGTCCATGAGCAACAGTTCAAGCGGTCCAGGGGTGGGGAAGAGAAAAAGACAGGGGAGGAAAGCAGCTGGGAGAGTTTGGTTCGCCCCCGCCCTGATCCCTCCTGTGTGGATGGCGCCAAGAAAAGGAAAGGGCCAGCCCGCAGAGAGCACCCGTCAGTTCCAGTCGCGATGCCACAAAAAAGCGGGCCCAGTAAATGGGAAGGTGCCCCCCCCGGGGGAAACGCTCATGAAAAGTCGTACCCCGGTGAAAAATCAAAGTACAGGGGGGGATCTTTCCTTTTTTTCGCGGAAACTTGTTCCCCCGGTGAAAAGTCAACGAATCGATGGTGCCAGGCCGAAAAAGTGGGGGGGGGTGAAGGGACACTAACTACCCCGTTGAAAAAACTCCGATGATTACGGTAGTTCCAGCTGAGTCTTGGCTCCACGATTCTCTGCGTTGTTTTTAGTTTTGAGAGCAGAAGTAGGCCAACGCGCCCCCCTCTCATCGCCAACTTTGTGATTTGAACGCCGGTCCCGATAACTTCACCCGCATACACCAGCGTGCTCGCCTGCGCTGAGTACTGGCCTCAGTTGCTGCCAAGGTCTGCACATCAGACGGAGAAAACGCCACAATATACTGCCAACAGGTTATGAGCCTCGCAAACACCACGATGATACACCAAGAGGTTGTGAGCCTCGCAAACGCGTCAGTCAGCCTCGTATACGCGCCACTCTAGGTTCCACGTGTACCTCCCACCTAAAACTCCTCTGAGCTAGTCCCAAGGGGGCACACAGATCGGACTCGCACACCAGGGCTTTACGGGCCTACACAAAAACGAGCGACGAGCGCAACCTGGCGGAAACGCACAACCATGTCCAACAACGGAGATTGCGAGCCACGCCAACTATCGTATCATTTACAGAGAAAAAAGCTTGTAGCCTCCCTGACACAAAACGCTACAAATAACGTAAACCCCCTCAGTGGGGATGAAGCACATGTACGCAGGCTTTGATGGGCGTACCGACCTCCGATATCACCCACGGAACTCAAACGGCTTATTCGTTCCAGGCTATTTCGTTGGACATGCCTTCGCAGGAACGTTTCGCTCGGCGTTTGGAGCTGATGATGGAGACGCTGCCTCATGCTGCTTCACGCCACGGATCTATGTCGCCCCGAGGAGGAGATCAAGCGACGCTCCTAGAATGCTCTCCGATGCAATGACTGGGTCGTGCCAAGATCCAGACACCGGAACCCACATGTGTCCGCGACCGGCTATGGCCTATACACGGCAAACGTTGCAAGTAGGAAGTGGGCCATCAGGTGCAAGTCGGTGATCATTTTTTTTTTTCCTGACGAGTGATGTAGTCTGCATGAAACAAGTGCAGTATCTGACTTCGTTTGTTTGTTGGCAGTGAGGTCTTGGCAGGGGACTGATGGCATCTCGACGAACAATTCCGCACCCACTTTTTTCCCTCCGTTCAAGATTGCGCCATTCCAAGGAGCAGCACGCGACAATCGGTTCCGTTCCTCGCACCACTCTACATGTATGTCCAACCATCCATTTAGACGAATGGCTTACCATCGGAGGAATCAACTTGTACTGAATGGTGGTTCTCCAGCCGGCGCACTCGGTGGAGAAGAACCGAATCCCCTTGCTAAGCACACCGGCAACTTGGCCAAACGTTGAACAGCCCATCAAAACGCCGTTTGCGTTGGCCATGCAGGAGAGGTCATTTTGCACGTCGAGGCCAACGTGGAGATTCATTTCCCTGCCATCGACGGCGAATATTCCAGATCGCGTGGGATTGCAGCTTGGAGCCCCGGCATCCTTCTCGGGACATTCTTCCGGAGTGGTTGCCTCCATGCACGTTGAAACCTGTCACGAATCGACGCAGACGTCCATCCATGCGTATATATGAAAGCCGGATTACATTATTTGCCATCCGACAATTGCAGATGAATCCACCAAAATCTTTACTCAATATGACGATGCTATTGATACATACATATGCACTCTGCGTAGATTGCTCAATCCGCCAACTCTACCAAATGAAGTACGTACCAAACAAACTTGCTCTCCCATGCTATCATATATTTGACCAACGTATGTTTATCCGATGCTTTGTTATACATGCGCGAAATTCAAAATTCAACCAAACCCTCGTTCGTTCTACTCTGCTTTTTCTCGAAAAAGCCTAGTCCTTCTTGCACACGGAAAACTAACCCTTTCAGCCTAAACCCAACTCATTTCTATTTCTTTGTTTGGAATCAGAACGTCGATGTTTGAAAATGGAGTTCATTCTACTGCACATCGACACTCCAACCCCATATCGTTGGTGTCGACGTGTTCGATGCTAATCCGGCTCTTCTCCCCTCCTCGTTTGGACGCCCGCGTAGTGATAGCTTGTACCGCTTACATAGGCTTCGGGGGGAGAGGTGGATGGCACACGCACGAATGAATCCAAAGCCTACGAAACTATGTGCTGCCGGTTCGCACCTGATCCATCTCCACCGGCCATTTTGGAAACTCCTCGAATGCCCCGTTTTCTGCTGACGGACAACGTGAGTGCGTCTCGGAGAATATGTGAAACACCGGATGGTCTTGCCCTCGAGCTATTGCGGCTGACGCCACGGTTTCCATGAAGTCTTCCAGATAGTCGAAGTAGGAGTCATCATTCAAGCTGTCTTTCCTGTCGCCAAGTCGCACATGGATCGCTATGTCCAGTTTCGATTGCGAAAAGGCGCATTCTGGTTGTATGTTGTTCCTGTTGGGCCGACAAGACACGAGGCGAGCGACGGAAGGAAGGCAGATGTGATGAGCAATTACATGGTGCAAATGATGACGGAGCGATCTGTCGTTCAGATGGTGGCCTTGTCAAAAAGAGTTTACGAGGGGTTCAAGAAGCGAGCGACGATCTTGACCGAATCGACGCAAACGTTTGATTGGGGACTGGTGTGTGGAGGCAGGTTGACAAGTCACTTTCAAAGTTTGCCCATGCCACCACGAAGGGTCGGCCAAGAGTTCCCGGCAACCATCTTCGGCTCATCACGTCCTCACGCGCGCAGGTACATACATCAGAGAGCGACCTCGCTGCCCGTTCATCGAAGCTCTAAGTGAGGTTGTGCAAAGTCTTGTTTCACCAACAACAGCCGTCGAGAGATCCTAATGCGCCGTTGCTTACCAAGGTCGGGGGAAAGTGTGGAAGCTTTGCTTGAACGTGTGCAAGACCGTGCGCACTGCCTCGCGTTTCCTTGCATTCCACGAGCCTACGGCCGAGAAATATCGCGGCGCCGTCATCAAATTCATCATGAGTAGCCACTGGTTCCATGCCGGGTTGCTCTGCTCGTCATGTAGCTGTTCGGACAACATATCTGAAGCTTCTTGTGCCTGCACAAGGTATGAACAAATTAGCAAGTCAAAGGCTGTTCCACGGGCAAGAAGAGCGAACATCACGCAGGTGTAGAAATCCGTACATATTTATCGGGAAATACAATGCCCAAGTCTCCCTTCTTCCCCTCGCTCCTCGACAAGCTTTTGCTTAGACATGGGTTGTAGAGAAGGGGGGGGTCTTTCTGGCGAGCAGGGCTAGACTCACCCTCAAGGGATGACCGAAACCTTCTTGCTGCTGCGCATATCCGCCGCGAGGCATGCGCGTGGTGGTGTAGTTGGGTCGGCACTGATGGGGTCAGGCGAAAAAATGTAGATGCGCGGGCCTCTGGCCGTCGGCGTAGGCAGCGATGCCCATCTCATTT